GCTTTCAAAAGCTGTCAGTCCAAAGCTTTCAGAGCTATAAAGAAGCTTGACTTTTTGTAAAAGAACTTTGCATATGTTAATCATGACCCACTAATGATCATAAGATCTAGAATATCACAATATGCCACCATCACAGCCTGTAGATGCAAGTCCTATGCAAATGGTGTGGCCTGGATTTCTGGCAATTTAATAAATGTATAACTAATATGATTGATTTAAAGCCTGTGCAACACTGACATATAAATACATTTATATATCAGGAAAAAATATTCTATAAGATTGTGTCCATATTTCTCATTCTATAAGAAGGTGGCTATCATAGGCATAGATCTGATGCAAGCGTTTGAATGTTTAAAAAAACATAAATTTGTTGATTTCATTAGTCGCACAAAGGCTATCAAGGCCTTCAGTTGCTGAGTAAAACTGGAAAAAGAAATATTTTTGCAAAACAGAATGGATTTTAATAACTTAATTAGTTCTTTGAGGATACAATGTATCCAAAATTGAAAACACACTAAAAAATTAATTGAAGAAGCTTCAATTACACATAAAGGAAATTGAAATCCTGACAATCCAATTTTAGACTTTTAAAAAGGAAGCATACAGCTCAATCAGACCCTACTATAATCTTCAGCACACACTGAGTGCTAGGAGAAGATGGTAGAAAAAGTCAAAGCTGTTAGTGCTTCTTCACCGTGGGGCCAATACTGATTCCGCAGTTCCTGGGCCGAGTACCCAGGATACTTTCAGTCTGGGTATTTCTTTAAAACCTGTATAAATTTTCCTTGAATCATTTATAATGATTTCTTCTTTAAAAAAATTTATTCATTTATTTATGAATAAAAGTCATGAACTGCTCTAATTGTGTAAAATGTCTTAAAAATCATAACAATTATTTATAAATGCTTAATTTCCTTTCCCTAAAGCACTACATTTAATTAAATGCACTCAGTTGCTTAACACGTATCATAGCAGCTTTGCCAGTTCTAGAATGCTGCCCTAGTTTTAGAGTTCACTTTGCTATTATTTCCTGATCCCCAGCAGTTAAGATCCTCTGTAATTCCCATGCAAATATCGCCAGGATTCAAAATAGAAAAAAAAAAAAAAAAAAAAAAACTGTTAAAAAATTCCATCCCTAATTCAGTTTGTCCTTCTATTAGCAGATTCTTGGCTTTTCCTCAGTTGTGTTAAACATTGGAGAGCTCGTCAGTGATAGATCAGTTCTTAATTGCCTGCACTTGGTTTTTCGTACTGGGAGTGTGTTCGCGGAAGTTCTGGTGAACCGTCCAGTTCTTCGGTGACGGTGTTCGGCACTGTTTTAGTGTGCAATAAGCCGCAGCAGATGGTTTGAGCTGGGGAGTAGTGGAAGAAAGCTGTAAGATGGACTCAGATAAAAGGATTTGGACACCAGCCAGAACTAGATTTAACAATGCTGTCACCAGGGAGCTGCTGAAGGATTCTGTGCAAGGAAACGTCAGAGAAGTAGTGAAATTAAATTGTGAAGATATTATTCTCCTGCTCTGCATTGGAGGGATATTGAATGACAGGGGTCCTAGAAACAGAATGGCCAACTCAGAGGCTTCTGGTATGATTTAGATTTGAGGTGATGAAGTCCCGGGTGTCAGTGGCAGCTTGAAAATGTGGACATTTTGAAAGAAAACCGGGTGAGACTTGGTAACTAAGCAGATATGGAGATAAGGGAGAGAAATGAGTAATACTGATACCACGATGTCGAGCATGATGGGGGAGCACCACAGGCAACAGGAAAGCCAGAAAGGAGGAATTAGGCTTTTTGTAAAGCAGATGATACATTTGGCTTTAGACATGCCAGATTCGAGCCAAAATGTTCAGTGGAAAGTTGAAGAAATGTAGCTAGGGCATGAATGAAAAGATGGGATTGGAGATTATATATAGAAGCTTTTTTTATGGAATAATTCAAATACATCAAAAGTAAGCAAAATAGTACTGAGCTTCCATGTACCGATCACCTGACTTCAATAATAATCGCTTGGCCAATCTTGTTTCATTCATGTTCCCCACCCTGTATTATTCTGAAGCAAGTTCCAGACATAAAGATAGGGATTTAAAAGCATGAAGCACTGAAAATATATATTGGGGAAAACCTTAGAGAATTTTAAAGCTAACCTTCTCATTTTACAGATGAGCAAAGTAAAGATTAGAGTAGTAAGTAATTTGCCCTAATTTTTTTTTTTTTCAAAAGATGACCGGTAAGGGGATCTTAACCCTTGACTTGGTGTTTGTCAGCACCACGCTCACCCAGTGAGCGAACCGGCCATCCCTATATAGGATCCGAACCCGTGGCCTTGGTGTTATCAGCACCGCACTCTCCCGAGTGAGCCACAGGCCGGCCCTGTAAATATGCCCTAATTTTAAGAAAAAAACAAACTTGTGGAGCTGTAACTGGAATCCAGTTATTTGCAAACAGCTTTGCCAAGTCTTCTTTCTGAGGTGAAATGAGACAGATAAAGATAATGGGCAAAAAAATTGCAAAAAGATGATGTGAAAAATTACTGTTTGTAAATATTTTACAAATTACTATTTGTAAACATATCACAAAAGTAAATATTTACCTTAAGCTTATTGTAACTCTGTCCAATAACACCACACATGCCACACATTATAATTATAAAACAGGTTCTCACACTAACAGCAGAACAGGAGAACTGTGCTTACTTAATTATCATTGGTTGGTTTTCACACTCTAGAGCCTCTAGGGTCATTGTAAGTGTGCCTTGGAGACAAGAGTCCTATCTGTCCAGGAGTCAGTTTACTTGTGGCTGCCAGAAAAGTCACCTTGGATGACATGTCACCTTTTGTACCATACCTGTTTATGGAGCAAATTTTGTATTGATTGTAGTGAGTAGAATATATAACAAGGCAATAAGAGGTGAGTTGATATTAATCCCACAGACGGGCACAACCTGAATGATGCTCAGCCACCAAAAAAAAGTGTAGTTTTATCAGAAAATATGACAGTTCGTGGATCCAGCTTAGATTTATTAAATTGTTTGGTGTGAGTCATGATTTAAATATGTGGCAGTGTTCTTTGTAAACATGTCATAAAACTACAGAAAGACACTTAGACTTACTGAAAAAAATTCTTTTAAAAATGTGCTCGGTATTAGAAGTACTAATAGAATGGCATTAAAATATCTTATAAAGTGGCACTGGATATTCCAGAGTCTAAAAGCCACTTTAATAAACATGTTTGATATATAAAAGATGTTTGCTTCAATCTGGCAATAAAGCCATCAAAAAGTTAATTCAGAACGTTTGTCATATAACACTATGACAGCACTGGAAAAGTAAAACAAATGTCTGGGAGTATTTGTGATTAGTTACTTCAGCTAATTAAAATTTCAAACTGTGTAATAATTTTTCACAATAATCTATTATTTAAAATTTTATGAAGCCGGCCTGTGGCTCACTCGGGAGAGTGCGGTGCTGATAACACCAAGGTCCCGAGTTCAGATCCCATATAGGGATGGCCGGTTTGCTCACTGGGTGAGCGTGGTGCTGACAACACCAGGCCAAGGGTTGAGATCCCCTTACCGGTCATCTTTTCATAAATAAATGAGTGAGTGAATGAATGAATGAATGAATGAATAAATAAAATTTTATAATACAGTCATTGGTGTCCTTTCTTGGAAGGAACTGGCCCTTATCCAGAGCATGCGTTCTTCCTTCTTGTTTTGTATTATATGTTCTTTTATAAATAGTGAAAGTAGTTGGTAGGTTTTTAAAAATAGTACCTTTAATTGGGAAAAAAATACTAGCAACACAGGGACCAATTTTTAAAAAAGTTTGTTCTGGTCTGTAAAATAATTGACAAAACTCCTGCATCACAGTACCGTGGACAATAGAGAGAAGGAAGAAGTCATCAAGGGAAAGATCTTTAGGAACGAGAAGGCGGTGGCCAGGAGCTGAGATTCCAAGAAGCAGGAGGAGCCAGTAAGAAGAGCTTGAAGACTGTGTAGTGAGAGAGAAGCCAGCACGAAGAGCACCAGTAGCTGGCTTCTATCCTGTTGGTACTTAGCATATGCAATTACACTTAATTCTCATGAAGAGCCTGTGAGTTAGGGGCTCTTCCACCACCACTACCTCATTCGCCTGCTGCATTAACGATGCGAGTTTCAGAGGGTGGTCCACAATGCCAAAGCAATAAAAACGTTTAAAATGAGAGTGAGCAGAACATATGGTTATAAGATTAACAAAGACGACTGAAAGATCAGTGCGAGTACAGTGGTGGGAACAGAAAGAAGCTAGGCTGCCAGCAAATTAAGCTGACCAAAGAGGTTAAGATACCTTAATATTTACCTTAAAAAATAGCCTAATATTTATTTTTGTTTAAATAGAGTCTCCCGTAAATGCTGGTTTGCAAAGCTATCTTATTTTTGTGGCTATAATACTTGTTTTTATAAGCAAGTTTGAGTGTAGTAAAAAACTGCTAGTAATTCCTACTAACACTTTCAAGAAGGCACTTAATATACATAAGCTTTGTGCTAATGCTTTTGAATTCAGTCCCCAGTGCACCTTTGCCACAGCACCCCGGGACCTTAATAGTTGCCTCTTCCTTGTTCTCTTGAAGTGGAACGTGCTCAGCACTCAACAGTTAGCACACATACGGAAACAGAGAGCCAGAGTCCTGAGAGCTCAAACACTCTTCGGGGAACATGGCCCACTTCTTTCCTTTGTGTGGAGACAACATTAAGAAACCACCTATACAGGAACTCTTGCTGGTTAGCCAAATCTCTCCCACATCCCCTCGGGGAGAATGCTGAGGCTGTAAAGCTTGTTTAAATGTCAGCGTCTGTGTTATGTACTGACTATTTTAATTCCCCAACTAATTAGATACTAACAGTTTTTAAAGAAATGAAAGCATAGATATATCAAAGCCAAACACCTATCCTTCCTTCTAGTATTTAAAACTATTAAATGAATTAGCAAAGTGATATTAACATAAAACTGTAATAGCAAAGCAACATTAACATAAGTTGACTTTATTTTTATACTGTCAGCCAAGCTGAAGGGAAAACAACTGAGAATATAAATAGACATTTCACATTTACCTTTCAAAATTAGTTCTGACAATTTATAAGAATTGAGTAGGGAAATAAATACAATATTGCTGTACAAATTTTAAGTTTTAAAAAATCATATCTTAAAGATTTGTTTCATGTACACTTCTACTTACTCAAACCATACAGTAACAATTTACAGAAATTTTGCCAATAATACAAAATAAAAAATTATTCCAAGTGGCATAACAAATCATTTTTTAGAATTACTTTTATCATGTTTTCTAATAATGTCCATAAGATTAGCTCCTGTAACCAGATCATTCTGTGTCTGTTTATCTTTCTGTTGTTCCTTTCTTTTCTGGTCATGAAGATAAGGGGAATTTAATAACTGTGGGGGAAGAATGGATCCTGTGGGTTTTACTCTTTTTGCGATATCCCAGAAGAGTCTTTTTGAATTGTTATTGATGAAAGTAATCGCTGTTCCATTTTGGCCCAATCTCCCCACTCTTCCAACCTGAAATGAAATGCAAAGGACATTTTCAAAATGTTCATATAAAATCTTAATGTCCCTTGAAAGGAAATGAAGACTATTATTTAAAGAAGCTTTACTAAGACTAACATTCATTCAGGTAGCATTTTTTGAACTGTGCATCTCAATGTATTTGTGAAACCAGTTTGGTGGGCTGCCACCAGCATATTTTTAATAAAACAGCCCAAACAGACAATAAGATAGTGATCATATATAATAAAAGTAAGTATTGTAAGTACGGTCATACCCTATGACTCAACAATTCCACTCCTAGGTACACACACAACAGAAATGAAAATATTTCTCTACAAAAAAATTGTACATGAATGTGCACAGCAGCATTATTCACAGTAGCCAAAAAGCAGAAGCAATCTAAATATCTAGCAACTAAGGAAAGGATAAACAAAGGTGGTATAGCCATACAATGGAGTATTATTTGACAATAAAAAAATGACATACTAGGGCCGGCCCGTGGCTCACTCGGGAGAGTGCGGTGCTGATAACTCCAAGGCCCCGGGTTCGGATCCCACATAGGGATGGCCGGTTCGCTCACTGGCTGAGCGTGGTGCTGACCGGGAGAGTGCGGTGCTGATAACTCCAAGGCCCCGGGTTCGGATCCCACATAGGGATGGCCGGTTCGCTCACTGGCTGAGCGTGGTGCTGACAACACCAAGTCAAGGGTTAAGATTCCCTTACCGGTCATCTTTAAAAAAAAAAAAAAAAAAAAAAAAATGACATACTGATACATGCTATAATATAGGTGAGCCTTGAAAGTATTATACTAAGTGAAAGAAGCCAGTCACAGGAGACTGTATTGTATGATTCCATTTATATGAAATGTCCAAAAGAGACAAATTAGGAGAGATAGAAAGTAGAGCAGTGGTTGCTTAGTGCTGAGGGTATGTGTGATGAGGAATGGGAGTGACCCCTGATGGGTATGGGGCGTCTTTCGGTGGTCATGAAAATTTCCTAAAACTAATTGCAGTGATGATTGTACACTTCTATGAATATACTAAAAACCATTTAATTCTTCGAATTCACTTTAAATGGGTGAATTGTATAGCATGTGAACTATATCTCTTTTTTTTTTCTTTTTTTGGCAGCTGGCTGGTGTAGGGATTCAAACCCTTGACCTTGGTGTTACAGGGCTTCACTCTAACCCATGTGAATTATGTCTATTGAGATATAATTTATATTGAGATATAAAGTTGTTAAACTGCAATAGTCTCCAAACTCTTGACAGCTGATTTCAACAAATAACAAATTATTTCCCCCAGAAACTCGCCACCCCCCAAATTAAAAAGCAGACACATGGGAATTCCTATTATAATTTTAAGTACACATATCCTTTGACTTAGCAGTTCTTCTAGGAATTTACCTTACAGTTACACAAGGGGCACAAAGAGATATGTACACGGATGTCTATTGCAGCATTATTTAATAACAAAATACTAGAAAGCATGTGATTATCTATCAGTAAAGGGTTTATTAAATAAATTACAGTATATCCATAAAATATATTACTTTGAAGCCATCAAAACAGAAGAAGCCAGATTAAACAAGTAAAAACATTTAAAGAGCTTACAACAGTGCCTAGCCATATAGTAAGTACTCAATACATACCAACATTTACTGCATGGTAACTGTTATGTGTGCTTACAAAGATATCTAAGATACATTTAATAAAGAAAGCAAGACATAGAACAGTTGGTATGATATGGTGTCATTTATGTAAAAGTGTAACATGCACATACGTATGTATGCGTGCATGTGTGTGTGTATACATTTATACACATACAGGTATATTTTCTACACTGTTGACTATGGTAACCACTCAAAGGCAGAAAGGGAGGGGAAAAAGAAAACTTAATTTTCACTTTATGTCTTTTGTTATTTGCATTGTTCATTATCATGTGTATATGTGCCTTGATTACTGAAACAAACAAAAGACACCCCAACACAGAACTACAAATGGAGAAGGATCTCGGGTCACTCTGAGTAGAGGTAGGAAACCCTACGTACTTCAACATCCCTGAGGCCACCACTACATTGTAGCACTGTACTATGAGTAACAGAGAACCACAGAGGTGGCTTTGGATAGCAAGGAAAGGTCAAATCATTATAGCCAGCACACTCTACTTAGGAAGCAAAGTAGCTTCTTAAATATTTTAATATTTTAGGAAGATTTCCATCCAGAATTATTAAAAATTTGAAAGAAAATAAGCTTCAGTTATTTGAACAATAGACTCCTCTGGAATACTTAATTTCCCAATGTGCAGGTAAATAAAGTGGCACCAAAAAGAGAGAGAGAGAGAGAGAAGTACTGCTATATTATTGCCTAAGTAAAAATAAAAGCAACAGTTCATTCAAGGGCACCAGCAGTGTTTCAGAGGGTGATGCAAGTAAGTGCGGCATTCAGAGGTAATTCTAAGAACATTCGAGAAAGGCTTTCCTTGAAGAGTTTGTAAGTGATGCCCAAGAAGGAAGACAGTAGCAGTCAGAGAGATAAGGTGCGCTGAGAGAAGGCTCTATTTCTTTTGTTTCTGCTAGAAAGAGAAGCTATTGTTACCTTTGGCAGTAAAGGAAAGGAACAAAACTTTAAAAGGTGAAAGACTAGAACAAATAAGGACATGAAGAGGCGATGAAGACAAGATTCCCAGAAAAACAAAGGACCGACTTTATTTTGGTCAGGTACATCAACTTAAAACCATCTTTTTGAACAAAATTTTTTTTTTCTGATATAAAAGCCATTAATATGCTCACTGAAGATAATAAGAAAAAAAAAAAAGAAACAAAAAACCCCCCAAAATTTACTACTTAAATTTTTTTAACTAACATTTTAGGTTACTTCTAGTTATTTTTTATGCATTTTAGGCATATATATAGCTTTTAAAAACAAAATATAGTTTATATACATATATATTTTTAAAGCAAAAATATATAAAATTTTATGTCCTGCTTTTTTTTTTAACTTAACATCTCATTGATAATGCCTTATCCAATAAAACTCGACAGTAACATGGAAAACCTCTGTACCTGGTGCACGTACTCATCCATACTGGAAGGCATATCAAAATTGACAACCAGCTTGACACTGATCAAGTCTAGGCCTCGTCCCAGGACTCCCGTGCTCACTACAACATCATAGTCTCCTTCCAGTAATCCCTTTCCAAAAAAGCAACGAAATTTATTATTCAGAATTTATTTTATGTGGTTTTACATAATTCTGATATCTTTTCTTTTCAATGCTTACTTCAATATTTTTGTTGCAATATCTTTTCAATAAGTAAAGGTCTTAGTATACCTAAAAAATGTATGTAGCTTAAATTCTCTCAAACTCTATGGAATTTATTCTATTAATTTACTCAGGCAAACCTTTTACAAAGGTGAACTACGGCTCTGCCCCAGTCCAAACTGACCTAATTTCAGAAATGGTGAATTCTGAATTAGTAATGTATTTAGTATATAATCCCTAGGGAACAGGCTTATTGCTCCCAAAACACAGAAAGAAGCCTGAGCAAGAGGAACAGTTAACTTTATGGTCATTGCTTGCCTGAAGTTCTTGCAGTCATTAAAAAAGGGTCTGCTTTCAAAACCAGCTGATAATAATGGTATCTCTTGAAAATGAGGCAAAACAGATTTACAGGAAAAAGAATATAGAACGTTGAGTGTCAAACCTTCAGTATGTTTTTCCTTTCTGTTTGTGACTTCTCTGAATGTACAGATGTGCTTTTTAAACCCGTGATTTTCTGAACGGCCTCACTCAACAGATCTGCTCCTAGTTTGCAGTCCACAAATACTAACACTGGAGGCTTAAAGAGTTTCTTATCCTGAAAAATTAAAAACACACAGTTAAAATTATTCATATAACATAATTTCAGTTTAACCTGCATTAGTAAAAGCTAGATATCAATAGGTTATAAATATTGTTTTGTTTTGTTTTAAATGATGACCAGTAAGGGGATCTTAACCCTTGGCTTGGTGTTGTCAGCACCACGCTCACTGAGTGAGCTAACCGGCCATCCCTATATGGGATCCGAACCCATGGCCTTGGTATTTATTATCAGCACTACACTCTCCTGAGTGAGCCACGGGCCAGCCCAGGTTATAAATATTGTTAAGGAGGAAAAACGTCTGTTAAAATGAGTGTTTTCTTTAAAATACAGACAAACAGTAGCCAAAGAATCTACTGCCCTTCACATTTTTTCCCTCAGTTCATTAATACTGCAAAAGTAATTCAAAAATTTTAAGTGCAATTAATATATTTCTAAATACCAACCATATTTAACTTAATACTGTATTTGTAAATAACTATGCTTGCACATAACAGATTTCTGTTTAAACTAGTAACACTTAAAGAACCCTTCTCAAGGACAGAATAGCCAAGAAATACCTTGACACCATCTTATACATAAAACTATTAAAAATTTTTGAAAGAAAAAGATATTCTTGGGCCGGCCTGTGGCTCACTCGGTAGAGTGCGGTGCTGATAACACCAAGGCCACGGGTTCGGATTCCATATAGGGATGGCCGGTTCGCTCACTACCTGAGCGTGGTGCTGACAGCACCAAGTCAGGGGTTAAGATCCCCTTACCGGTCATCTTTTTAAAAAAAAAAAAAGAAAAAAGAAAAAGATATTCTTTAGGAATAATCTTGATATTTATTTTTCTATAAGAAAATGAAAAACCAACCCTGCCACTATATAGCATGTCTTCACAATAAAAATAAAAATTTATTTGATCTTCACAGAATAATAAAAGCAATTTCTTATTAAGTACCTATACTAAATTCCCCAAAAGCTGAATCTAAAAATCATTCTAAAAGTGTGAAAAATGCAAACAATCAAAAAACAGTGTTGACTGCTTTACTACTTACATTTAAGATTTCAAATAATTTTTTCTTTTTGGCTGGGTCTTCCACCCACAAAATAATCTGACGCACACTGGAACAAGGTAGGTTCTTTTCTCCAGTGATAATTCTCACAGGATTATCCAGAAGCTGGCTTGTTAGTTGTTCTATGCTAGTTGGAATTGTAGCTGAAACCAAAATGGTCTGACAATCATCAGGAACATTTTCCAAAATGTCAAGCACTTGCTGTTGAAAGCCCATCTTTAACATGGTATCAGCCTAAAATGAAATAATTTTAAAGTTAATCCTGTTTGACATTAGAACTGAGAGCCATTCAAGAAAAGACTGATATAATTAAGAACATAAAAAATTTAAAAACTCTTACACGGAAAAATACACCACAAATAATATCAAAAATCAAAGGACCAACTGGGAAAAATATATATTTATATCAAATTATAAACTATGTAACTAAATGTTTACAATGATATACAATTGTTATTATGACATTATTAATAGTAGCAAAAAACAATATACATCCTAAATATCTATCAATAGGGGAGTTGGTAAATTATGGTCCATCCATAAGATATAACCCTCAAGAAACTTAATTGCTAACACTGGAGACAAGGCTGGAGGGCTGTTTGGTGGATACTTTCATTTTTATTTTTATTTATTTATTTTTTTTCATTTTTATTTTTTAGTTTTTTGTAAAGTTTTATCTTTTTTTTTTAACCATGAACTTATACTATATTTATAATAAGATATTATTTGAAATTTTAAAAAGTTAATGTTGGGGGCAGCTATGGTCTGAATGTTGGTGTCCCCACAAATTCATGTGTTGAAACCTAACCTCCACTGCAATAGTATTAAAAGGTAGGGCCTTCAGGAGGTGATTAAGTCATAAGGGGTCCACCCTCATGAATGGGATTAGTGCCCTTATAAAAGAGCTCGAAGGGAGCTCCCCTCCCCTATTGCTCTGTTAAGATTGCAGCAAGGAGGTGCTTTCTATGAAGCAGAGACTAAGCCCTCACCAGACACCGAACTGCTGGTGCCTTGACCTTGGACTTCCCAGACTCCAGAACTGTAAGAAATAAATTTCTGCTGTTTATAAATGACCCTGTCTAAGGTATTTTGTTACAGCAGCAGGAATGAACTATGACAGGGTCTTTCACTTCTGTCTGTGCTTCTACTGCTGGTTTTTAAGACATTCCTCCTCTTTCTCACCTCCCACCCACTGTTCAATCCACTGGTCTTTGCCCCCTGTACCTCACTGGAACTACTCTCTTTCAGGCAGAAATCACTCCCCAAGTGTCAAATGCAGAGAAAGTCTTTATCTCTCTTTAAGATATAATTTTAATTTTTTTTTTTAAATAATAGAATATGCTCACTGTAGAAAAGTTGTTAAACACAGCAAAGTATAAAGAACTAAAAACTAACCTATCATCCCACGGTCCAGACATTACCACCACCTCCCTTATTTTCAATCTTCTAAATATGTGTGGAAATCCCTCCTTCCATACCCATATGGCCAGCCTGGCTCAAACCCTCCCCTTCATCCTGTGAACCTGTCTTCTTGCTTTCTGGCTACTCTTCATATCAAGCATATGAGTCTGATTATAACACGTTCCTGCTTAAAATCCTTCCAGGGTTTCTAATGTGTACAGATTAAAGCCTGAACTCTAAAAGGCCTCTTACAAATTATGCACAAAACACTACCTATGGTTTAAATTTTAAGAGGTGGTAGAAGTATCAGTCTCCCCCCAGCCCCATTTTCCAAATTGTCTTTAATGTGCATGGATTGCTCATGAAACATAGTTATTACTCAAAATGCAGAGTCAGCCATGAACAGCATTAAAAAAAAAAAAAAGGACAGAATACTGGGGCCGGCCCGGTGGCACACCGGAGAGTGCGCTGCTTGGGAGCACAGTGGCGCTCCCACCAAGGGTTCGGATCCCATGGGGAGACCGGTTCCCGCTCACTGGCTGAGCGAGGTGTGGACGCAACACTGAGGGTTGCGATCCCGTTACCGGTTAGTAAAAAAAGACAAAAAGGTAAAAAAAAAAAAAAAAAAAAAAAAGGAAAAAAAAAAAAAAAAAAAAAAAAGGACAGAATAGAATAGAAAATAGATTAGAAGAACCACATATAGCAAGGGTAATTACTGTTTCATGAAACTTTTTTTTCAGTTATACATACACAAACACAATATTCATGTACTGGGTCCTCATCTAAACTATGGTTTTTTGAAAGCAATTATGCATCAGAACTTGGGAAAATTTTACTCTTTCTACATTGTTTTGCACCTATACATCTGTCTATTTTCTAACTACCTGAAAGGGATGTTAGCAGACTAAAATGTAAAAAATATATACTTAACAAAAAACTCTTGAAATAAAAGTCCTATATAAATATAAGGTGTTTCAAATATTAGAACCACTTATAATTAAAACAAAGCTACTCTGAAAATGCAGCACTAAGGTAAACATAGAGTAAGGGGTAAGAATAAATAAAGAGGTAAATACACACATAGGTGTACCCTAATTGTAAAACAAACTTTGTCAAACATTTCTGGAAAATGTCCAGTTTTCAGTGTTGCCTACGTTTCTTCATTACTCATAACTTCCTTAATCTCTGACAATCTGACTTCCATCTCTACTACCAAAACTACACTCTTGAGCATCCCCAGGGCTAAACATTCACTCATTCACTCACCGAACCTTTGACTAAGTGGCTAATTGTGGTTCACGGCTCACATTTTCTGAGCATTTACTATGTGCCTGGCACCTTTCCAAGTGCTGCACAGATCCTCATAATAATGCTGTGAGGTAGGCACTATTGTGATCCCACATACAAAGGAGGAAACTGAGGCATAGTACATAGTTATTAAGTGGTGGGGCTGGGACAGGACCTTGGCAATCTGGCTCTAGAACCTGCACTGTAAACACCAAGCTGACATTCTGTGTTCTAAGTCATCAAGACACATGAACAGACCCTACCTGCAAAGAATTTACGGTCTTATAGGGAAAAGACGGACCACCCAAAACTTACAATATTCGTATACATGAAATATTATATATTTAAGTTACAGCACATGACATAATTGTCCACCACCTCTTTCCAACTTATTTTTTCCTGTCGTGATTCTTCTCCTCCCTCACCGGCTACTCTTTTTTCAGTCTCCTTTTTCTCCTGCTCCATCTTTATACTGGACAATCTCTATGTGTCGGGAAGTCCCATGGGCTGCCTCACAGGCCCCTTCTATTCCTCATCTATACTCTCTCCCTAGATAAGACCAACAAGTTCCACGGCCCTAAATACCATGCGTACAAAGACTCCCAAAATCCTGCCTCTGGCCACAATTGCTTCCCTGGCCAGTGATAGAAAACAGCTGCCAACTCAACGACTCCACTTGGATCTAAAGGCCCCTCAAATTTAACATGTTCAAAACAGAACTTTGCATGTCCTCCCTGCCAAACCCACTCCTATGCCAGTACACACCCATGAAACAGCATCATCAGGAACCCCCCTTTCTTCTCTTTTCTTCAGTATCCATCTAATCCACTAACAATCCCGACGACACCACTGACACATCCCAGCCGGTCACTTCTCTCCAGCTCACCCTTGTGAGACTGCTCTCATTCCTGTCACCCCCATCCCATAACCTGTTCTCCTCAAGCAACCAGACAGATTTTTCTAGAATATAAATCAGAGCTTTTACTCCTCTGCTTAAAGCCTCTGGTGGTTTCCCATCACAACTAGAATAAAATCCAGCTTCTAACCATGGCCTAAGAGTCCTACAAATTCTCATCCTTTTCCACTTCTCTGACGTCATCTCCTGGCACCCTCCCGATTCTCCTTGTCCCCGAATACCCCACACTCATTCCCGCGTTAGCCCCTTTGTACTGGCTGCCCTCTGCCTGAAACAGTCTTCCCTTCAGATGGATCTCCGTATGGCTGCCTTATTCTCATTCAGATTCTCAGCATAAAAGTCACCTTCCCAGACAGCCATCCCCTGACTACCAATGCAGAGTTGCAAGCAGTTACCTATGCATATTACCTTGGGTTGGTGCATTTGTCAAAGCTCCATGAGACAGACAGCTCATCTGTCTCACCTTCCACTGTATCATCAAGACCAACAACAGTACCTAACACGTAAAAAGCCCTAAAAATGTATTTCATAAATAAATGAGCACTCATTAATGTTCAGCACTGAACAAGCAACTAACTGCATGTTAGGCAACTTACCAGTCAGCGTGTCCCAAACCTCCCTGAAGAGAAGAATCACCTGGAGTGAGTTTTTAAAGATTCCAAGGCTCCAACTTGGACCTACTGAACCAGAATATCCAAGTGAGAGGTCTGGTCTTGTATTACATTCATGAAGCACAACAGGTGATTCTTATCATTAGGGAAACCTGGGCAAACACTGTGCTTGATCATTGGGATACAGCAGGAAACACAACATAAGAGAAATAATAAAGTCTGTGCACAGATCAACAGAGAGGAAAGAAGGCCTAAAGTCTGTCTGGGGGAAGGAGGGAAGGTTCAGTCACAGACACCTAAAGACGAAAGAGCAGGTAGATGGGATGGGAGAGAACTCTAGGCCAAAGGACAGGTGTGACAGGAGACACAGAGCAGTTTTCTAATTCCAACGGAATCATCTTAGTTTTCACCTCTGACCATTCCTGTGTCCTTACCCTCCTCTTCAAACAGTGGCTTTTGTCTTCTTCAGGAATATATTTGTTCTCAGTTCCTCTGTCTCTCAGACTATTTCTTTGTTTCCTGACTCATCTTTGAACTCCACAAGCCAGGCCCTTAGCCCCAGCCCTTGTTTCTCTTTCTGCTTATTTCTCACATCTCATGGATGCTAATGCATATTTCTTATATCTACAGAATATCTCCCCTTAGTCCATCATTCCCATGAAATTCAACATGTCTAAAACCAAACTCAAATATTATTACCAAGAGCCAGCACTTACCCACTTGCCCTTTTCTAAAACTATAACTTCTGGAGTCACCTCCATTGCCTTCTTCTTCCTCTCTCATTTATTCAGTCATCAGAAGACTCATAAATGATTCCTTTACAATGACTCTGATTTAACCCTTGGCTCCTACTGCCCCCACCCTGACTCTGGCCTGCCTCACCCCGTGTCTGGATTGTCGGCTGCTGTCTCACGGATTCTTTCTTCTGTAATTTCTCTTGCACTGAGCAGTGGAATGACCTTCCTAAACCACCACTTGCAACATGTTACACCCCAACTCAATAATTTAGAAAGCCTCATTGTCTCCCACATCAAGTCCAAATTCCTCTGCCTCCCTTTCAAGGCCCTCTATAATTTGACCCCACCCTAACTACCCAACTTTACTTCCTATTATTTCTTAGGAAGAATTCTTCAAGCTGGTTGGTCTCTTTTCCGCTCTCCCCACACAGGCACTCAGACCTTTGACTCTGCTTCTGTTAATCTCTTCACTTGGAAAAGCTGATACATCCTCTAGTTTTCTAAATCCTTTTCCATCTTTTGAGGCCCAGGTCACATCCCATTACTTCTGAGAAGCCATTTTTTACAGTGCCAATACGTTTACTCTCTCATTTCTCCTTCTGACTTTACTTGTCCTGGACAGTTAGCATATCGTATACAGTCCTATTATTTTACCAACAGCTTGTATCAGCAGTTGGCAAACTATGGCTCTGGGGACAAGCTCAGATCTTTATCTGTTTTTGTAACTAAAGTTTAAACCCAGTCACACCCAGTCATTTTCACAGTCTGTGGTTGTATCGAGTAGTTGCAACAAAGACCGTATGGCCTGCAAACCCTAAAATACAAAGCTACTTCAAAAAGTTCATGGAAGGGCCGGCCCGGTGGCACACTGCTACAGTGCGCCGGTTGGGAGCGTGGCGGCGCTCCCGCTGAGGGTTCGGATCCCACATACAGACCGGCCGCTCACTGGCTGAGCGAGGCGCGGGTGCAACACCGTGGGTTGCGATCCCGTAGCCGGTCCCGGTCCGGTCCGGGAGCAACACTGAGGGTTGCGATCCGTTGCCAGTCACGAAAAAAGACAAAAAGGAAAAAAAAAAAAAAAGTTCATGGAAAAGTGGAATTGAAAGATAACTGGAATCTTTCCATGAACTTTTTGAAGACCCCTCCTATTTACTATTCAGACCTTCACAGAAAGCATTTGTAGACCTCTGGCCTATATCATACATTCTAATCCTTTTGTATCTCAGTTTATATAATGTTCTTGCCTTTACTTCAACTGTATGTATCTTTTCTTTCCAACAAGATCTCAGCACCTTGTAAGTTTAAATGATATTCAAAACTTCTCTGTAATGGCATTGAAATTTATCCAGAGTTGGTCAATCTGTACCTAATACCACTTCCGTGCTGACTTCAGTTTCAGTACCTAACCAGTTATGTCATTTACCAGCTCATTTCCCCTCTAGACCACACGCAAACCATATTCCTTAAACACTGAGGAGCTGGACAGAGGCTCACATACAGGTACTCAACGAGTGCCTGATGAATGTGTACTTCTTTAGTACCATAAGAGTGAGCACAGCACTGAGGTGCCCTATGAAGCTTTGTTAATTGAAGAAAATGAAAATGCTGTAAGGAGAAGTGAGAATGAATGGAACCTAACTTTAAATTCCATACAGGAATCATTTCTCAGGCTCATAAGATGGGAGAACTTAAGAACAGGGGCTTATTAACAAAGGGTGGCAGTAAGTCTGATGATAATCAGATGCAATAAATCAATTCCACCAAAAAGGCCATGCCGGAAAAACACTGACTTAGCAGCACTTTTTAAAGGACTGAATAATATTATTTTACACTTCTACAGGACTTTGCAGTCTATGAAACATTTTCACAATCCTTATTTCATCCTTGCTATAGCTCTGGAAGATTAAACAAGTCGCCCAAGATTTCACAGGAGGTGGAGTAAACGTTCCAACTTGGTCTTGTGGGTCTTTGCTATGTATTCTTCCCACACTCTCTGGTATCCCACTGCTACTTACTGGGACCCACAGAAGGCAGGCCAGGATGCTATCACTGGCCCGCACCCGGCACCCCACATTTCTGAGCACTGCCAGGTAACACCAGGCCTCTGCTCTGTCACTGCTGGTGAGACATGTGTGAAGATACACGTAGGTATGAAGGGCACATGACCAGTGTGGGCTGGCACATGGTTCTGTGTTCTCACGCTTGTTAGCATGGTGGAATATAATCAACTAATTTGATTTTTTCTTCAGCTTATTAAGCAAGCCAAAAGTATAAAAATACCTATATGGTATGTGTAACATAAAAAAAATCACAACCACAGATGATTATGTCCACACAGAAAAAAATAAAACTAAAAAAGGCCATCCAAATAAGCATTATTAGCTACTTCCGAAACTCCTGTTAATAATTATTTGCCACTGATTATTTTTGTAGACAAACGATAGCAAGCATCACATGTTTAAAAAACTTATCACTGAGAATGTAGTACCTGTTGAATTTGTGCTTTCTGTCAATTAGGAAAAGATGGCTCTGATTTAATGGTAGTGCACTATACCTTAAGTTTGCTGTAGTGCTGCACAGGAACCAGCTTAAGAACCACTGCTAGAGTTTTTAAAAAGTCCCTAATTTTTTTTCCTTTGGGGGAGAAAATTCTCTGACTATGCAATGAAATTATATAACTACAGTATATTTTTCATAAGTTATATAAAATTATGTAACTAATGTTTTTTAAAACACTACTACTTACTTCATCTACTACTACAATTTTTATACCACTGAGTTCTACAGAGCTCTGTTTTATTATATCCAGAAGTCGCCCAGGGGTTGCTATGATAACCTGAATAAAAGAGAAAAAACAAATTAAAAAATTAGGTAATATTTATTCATTCTTTATTTATTTATTGAGTGGCTAATATGTGTCAGACACTGTTTTATGCACTTAGGATTCAGCAATGAATAAGTCAGACATAAGTCAGACATAGTCTCTGCTCTCTTAAACTCACAATATAAAGGAAGAAACAGATAAAACAAATAAATGCTCATGAGATAAGTACAGGATGACATAAACGGAGGGATCTATCCAGTCCTACCTAACACATAAGCTCAAACCTAAAGGATTAGTGGGGAGTGAGCAAGGTGAGACGTGTTCCAGGCAGAGGGAAAGCATCTATGAATTCCTGTGGCTGGGAGGCCAGTGAGGCTTACAGGTGGTGAGGGAGGACAGAATGGCACAGGGTGAGGCTTAAGAATTGGCAGGGACCATGGAGGGCCTTGCAGATGGTTTGACCGCTATTTGACTCTGTGAACAGTGCAAATTCCTTTACCTCTTTGGGCCTATTATTTCATTTTTAAATTAAGAGGCTGAATGATTTCTAAGCTTGCTTAAGGCCCTTAACAGTTTTATAATATATTAGTTGAAGCAGTGGCTCGTTAGTCAAACAGATTTTGGTAGGAATCCTGGCTCTGGCATTTAATGATGGTGTGAGTCTCGGTTCTCTCATCCATAAAATGGAAATGACAATAATTACTGTAAGGATTAAATGAGACAGTGTCCAGCATAAAGTGTAGCAGAGTTACAAATGATCCAATAATCTCAATTGTATTCCACGTTTCAAACACACACCAACAAGATGGTAAATCACTGGGAATGATAAAATCTCAGGGTTATAAGGATTTGTATCCATAGAACTGCAGGGTTCTGCTTAGGTACTTCCTCTTCTATTCCCTTTTTTCCTCTCTGCTGGTTTTAATTCTTTGAGTCCTCTCCCTTGAATTTTAACAAACGTATAACTTACTAAAGTCTAAAGTTAACTAACATTTTTACCTTTTTCTTGAACAATCAAGGACAGATGCTTTAAAACCAGTCACATCTTTCCCATACTTATGTGGTACCACTGGACAGTATTTTCCTTCTATTTTTTTTTAAAAAAGACTCATAGATCGTTCATTATTATTACTGTTTGATTCAGTCGATGTGTGTTTAGATTTAACCACATGCTTACTAGCTTCTTTGGTCACCATTCTTTCTTCCATCCCACACCTTCCTTTCTGGAATCACCTTCTTTATCTGTAGAGTTTCTTAGTTTCAAAGTCCCTTTAGATGGTGTATTGGTAATAACTGTCAGTTCTGCTTATCTGAAAAGGTGATAATTTTGCCCTTGCTCTTGAAAGACAGCTTTGCCATGCAGACGCGTTGCAGTCATTTTTTCTCAGGGGTGTCTGTGAGGGAGCACAGGCTGCGGGAGGTGAGGAGGGGCCTGCACAAAAGGCGGCCTTGCACGGGGTGCTGGAGCCTGAGGCTGAGGACAGTGCAGGGGGAGTCCAGTGAGGAAGGCATCACTGTGTGGGAAGGCACAGTGGTGTCGGTGGGAGGTTGGTTCACACATGGCAGGACTGGTCAAATAAATAAATACATAAAGGAATATGGGAGGCTTCTCCCTGTCAGGGTTCAAATACGGAAACACAAAACCTGAAGTGAATCCTGTTGTGCTGAACCCAAATCCCAAGTATCAACGTGAACTCATGGTCTCACCGTCACCAATAAACACAGACAGAGAAAAACACACACACAGATACATTCCCTAGTTCTATCCGCTGAGAGGTCCTAGAAGCAATGATGGCCCAACAGTGGTGAGCACATGCTGCCCCCGCCCGAGGACACCTGCCCGACTGCCTGCAGCCTCCGCTCCTCCCATGGGACTCCAGGACCTCCCTACAACCCCAGTAACTGAACCCCAGAACAGCAGGGGCCTCCAGGACCCAGCTCCTGCACAAGACTTCAGTTCACTTTCATTGTGCCAAACCTTTCATAAACACTTTGACTTTACAAGAAGGTACTTTCAACCACACATTCAAACTCAAGAAAACTGAGGCTCATGGAAGTGAAGTGAGTTCTCCATGGCTGTGGCGCCATCAAGTTCCAAAGCTAGAACTAGACTATCTTGCTTTTACATACTTTTATATATCAGAAAATACAGACTACACATAATAGCATGGCTAAGGAAGGAACAGAGGTAAATTAAGTTTTCAGTTTTGGCAACTATCATCCATTGGGTATGGACCCTTAGATAAACCCCATCTTTCCAAGATTCAACTTCTCAACCATAAAATTTAAATTCTTGCCAACCCACCTCCAGGAGCAAATGTGATGGTTAAATGAGATAACGCACGTGAGAACATCCAACAATGCTTGGCATGTAACAGGCACTCAATAAATTGTGTTTCTTGCCTTTCCTATATAAAATGAACTTTTTAAAAAAAATTAAGATTTGCTTGGCAAGAATTTAAAAACATACTTAAAATTACCTCAAAAAAAAGAAAAACAACCCACTAGTTCCTATATTGCTCACAAAAGTTTTCAAAGGCATCGTATCGAACCGGTGCTTACCTTCACATGCTGTCGCAGACGGTGAAGCTGTGGGGGCAAGGGTAAGCCCCCTACGAGCAGCACGGTCTTCATGCGTGGAAGGCCACTCATCAGCTCTTTAGCTTGTCTCTCTATCTGAACAGCTAACTCTCTTGTTGGAGTAAGAACGAGAGCAGATGGAGCTTGGCTCTGCAAAGGCATGAAAAACAAATCTATAAACACCAACCAAAGCTTAATTCTTGCTGATATGGATGAAATCTCCACGGTGATTCCAGGAACAATTTCCCTTTTACAGTGTTCCCACTAGCCCAACTGCCTTCTGCTTGCTGCAGACTTTATTCCTCAAAAACCATCATAAATCGAACCCTTTTCTTCCATAACACAGATAATACAATAAAAAATCAAAATTGGGGCTGGAGAGAGGCGTCCACAGTAACCAAGGTGGGAAAACTGAAGGTTTGTCCCTGGTTAACTGGACCCTTCAAACTCTATTCATCCTCCTCTGAAGAGAAAACCTGATAGTCACCAGGAAGACCTGCTCAAAGCTGGCATTCTCCTCTTACGTTTTCCTCTCAGCTCTCGTAGATTCACTTCTTCTTTTGTCCAAAGAACTTATCTATATTTGTATATCCAAACCGTTATTCTATTTCCTCCCTTACAACTCTGTTTTGATCTCCCAGCTTGTCATGCCTATATTTTAAACATCTACAGCTTTCTTTTATTTTTTTTCTCACGTTATCTTCTACCCCTCTTTGGTTTTCCAAATTTTTCTCCTTCATCTTTCTTCTTTTTGCCCACATTTTTCACTTGTTTTTCTTCTTGCCATACTTCATACCCCACAAGCTCACCTCTATTTGGCAAATAGTAATTACTCAAAATGTTTGTTAAACTAATTATGTGGGAAAGCTTATACGCTATAAACTCACAAGGAAGGCAAGGTAGTATTATTTTAAGATAAAGCATGGTTCATGTTTAAGAGTCTATTTTGAAACTTTACAACAACTTTTGGATACAAATCAGTTTCTTCAAAACATAAAACCCAAGGAGGCTTACTGACACAAATTGCAGCTAATCTGCTAAACAGGATTTCCCCCCTGCCCCCATCAAAAATTTATTCTTTTAATAGAAAATCTGTTAAGAAGAAAACGTTTTGTAAGGAAAGCAATTTTTTAGACCTTCAATGAAGAGATCTTTGGTTCAATATAATAATTTTTTAAATTCCCTAAAATGATGTATTTCATATAAACTACTATCAGAAGCAAAATTACTAGGAGCACTACTGACTAAAGTTTCAAATATCGAGCTTCAGCTTGCAATTTTAATACAAAGATGGAACTTGGTAAGCACCCCATTTATTTCTGAGAATAATACACGTGCAGTCTATAACTTACCTCAAATAAAGCTCGGATGATAACAGGAAGAAGAAAAGCAGCTGTTTTTCCTGAGCCAGTGTCCGCACTGGCCAGAATGTCTCTTCCCAGGAGTCCCACAGGAATCATCTGCATTTGGATGGGGGTTGGCACTTCATAGCCTGATTTCTTCAGGTTGTGATTTAAGGCCTCCGGGAACCCACAGTGTTCAAAGTCAATGATAGGCCTGGTGACTTCTTGCCCTTGAACTAAAATTCCTAGCTGCTGTTTCAGATTTTCAACCTGGTTCTCCTGAAGGTTCAAAATAAAGGGGTGCTCTTTGTAGACATAAAAGGCATTCAGTGCAGACTCTGGCTCAGGATCAGCTCTCTGTGGACTGCTGAGTTTTAGTTTTTCTTCCTTTTCCTGAACTTGTAGAAGATGTTTCGCTTTACACTCCAAGCTACACACATCCTCATCTGTCTTATCACAGATATACTCTCCGTAACGACCACAGACAACACAGACAGGCTCCCCAGGTTCTGCCCAGCGCTGTGTTTTGGAAAATGACTTCACAGGCTCTTCAGAAGGATGACTGTCCTTTGCATGCTGCTCAAGTCCTACCAAACAAATGTCGGCCAAGTGGCCAGCTGGACTGGGAATGGGGCAAGATTCGCTGGGCCTGTCTGGTGTTGCGGCTGCTTTTGTAACTAAATCCTCAGCTGAAACAACTCTGCCTTGATCCAACTGCAGGTCTTCTGCTTCCGGTTTAATTTTCTTAGCCACACAACTTTTGCTATCATCATTAGCATTCCTCTTCATTTTTAGAGATCTTGGAACAAACATCCTCCAACATCCTGTTGAGGAAATTATATAATGAGATTCTACCCTCAATGAAGTCCACACAGAAGGTACTATAGGATTATTCTAGAGTCAGCCCAGTGTCACTCGGCTTTGCCTCAAAGGAACAGTGAAGACATCATGGCGCTGCTTAATACTAAGCTTTTCTTCCGTTCACCAGTTTCCTCTTGTGAAAAGCCAGAGTCCTCTTCCACATACCCACAAGCGGTGAGACACTGCACACCACGCAACACAGCCTTGTGCGCACGGTTTGTGTCTGCTTACTGACAACTTGCACTTTGAAGTAGCCGATAGTAAAGAAATTCTGCAATAACTGTATTTTCACACACACACACACAAAAGCAAAACAGAAAGGATACTTCACTGTTAGAATTTTTAAAATCAAAACCACAAACCACAGAGAAAAATGCTATTTTTGTATAAGTAACCCTTATTTAGTGCTTTCTATATGCCAAACACAGTGCTTAATGCTCCACCTAATCTTCACAAAAACCATGCAAAGTAAGTTAGTCCTACCATATACCTGTGTGTGTGCTTCAAAAGGTTCGTGGGAAAATAGAATTAAGAGATACTATTTATCCTTCCATTAATTCTCTGAAGTACTCTCGTATGTACACACCCATATATACATATTTTATTATGCTATATTATGTATATTACATAACATTATATATAATATAGCATAATAAAAATATATGTATATCTTGGTGTGTATATGCACATAAATTTTACATTTGAAGAAACCGAACCACGTAGAGATTAAGTGACTTGTCCAAGCTCACAATTCTTAAGAGTTACAGCCCAGGCACTCTGGCTCCAGAGCAGAAATTCTCAACCACAGCTATACCTATTTACACCAAAAATACGTTTCTGCAAAGTTACAGTGACTGGGAAAGAAGACTTTTAACCTAATTTGGGACTAGCAAATATACTAATAAATATTATTCTCAAGAAAATTCTTAGCATAAATTGCCAGATTCCATCTTCTAGGAAAATTCCAGCAAGGATACAACTGAGGTCTACAATTACTATCCTAAGTGGCCAAAAATCTTAAGCGGGTGCCGGAGGGGGACGACTCCATGTGAGCAGGGAAGCGCTGGGAACTCCAAGTCTTCAGATGGCGACCCGGGGCCAGCTCGGGCAGGACGGGCTGCGGCGCTGCCTCCGGTTCTCGCCAACGCCCCCGACCCTCGCGCTCCCAGACCCTCCCTCCGGCGTTGCCTCCCCAGCCCGCCGGCGGCCCCGCACCCCCGCACCCCCACACCCCCAGGCGCTTGCACGTCACGGCGCGGGCGGGGCGT